CGCTCATCTACGGTCTGCGGACTCTGTTGAGTCCTTTAAAGCTAATTTAAAGACATTCCTGTTTGGGCAGGCGTTTGGGTAACCGGTGTGCTTGATTTTATTCTGTTTTATACTATGTTTTTATTTAGTTTTCATTGTGTTTTATTGTGTTTTTATGATGTTTTGGTGCTGTTATGAGTTCTTAACACGTGGCGTGTGTGTTCATTTATCATTGTACGATTCCTATGATGATGTTTTATTGTTTTGTCAAGCACTTTGTGACTTTGTCTGTGAGAAGCGCTTATAAATAAACTTTACTTACTTACTTATACATTTCTTTATTTATTCTTTATTAATATAATGTTTCCTTTTGAATTTACTTGAATTTATGAGTTATCTGTAAACTTTATCTTATTATAATTGTTTTGTTTCATTGATTATTATTCTATCCTATTTAATTATATATTTTTTTCGAATACAGAGTAATTTCTTAAAGTGCAATTCGTAAAATAAGTGAAGGGAGGAAGAGCAAATACAAAACAAATGAATATTTATACAATCAGATATTTTATTTCCCTTTTGTCTTTTTCCTTCCCACTCCTCCTCCTTTCATTGATTATTATTTACTTATTTAAATCTTTATATATTTATAGTACGCTCTGCAATTTCTCAAAATGCAAATTTGAAAAAAGAGTGAAATGCAAAATAACACAAAACAAATGAGAGATCAAGAAGTCAACAAATCTCCATCACTCATTAAACATTCAAATCAATATCAGCAACCTCATATTTCACTTAATTTAATAAATAGAGGGCAAGAAGGTTCAGCAGGAGCGTTTTGTGGGAAGAGGAACACCAACGACCTGCATGTGGAGACAGATGGACAGAAGCCAGTTTGGGAGCCAGGCTTTGAGGGAAAGTGCCGGCACATCATCACCTGACCTTGATAAAAGCAAAATATGCTGCGAAATGTCAGCGACATGCTTCTTCCGTGACAGTGGGTGCTTTGCGTTATTGGACTTGTGTTGAAACCAGTGTGTTTGTGTGTGTGGAGGGCACTGTGACCACCGCGGGGGGGAAAAGGTCGTCAGTAACAAGCGAGCCTGACAGCTTAATTACCAACGCTGCTAAAGATTTATTGGTTTATCAATCAGAGCCCCGGGCGCTGCCTCTGCCCTCAGGAGACGGGAGCCATTACACATGAACCTGCTGGCCCATGTGACCCAGACTCCTCTTCTGGTCATACCAGGGCAACCCTGAACCCAACACACACACACACACACACAATATGCTAAGATATTTAGGATATACACATATGTTCAAACCAACAAACAAACATATGCACACACACATGCAGACAGACACAAATACACACAGAAAAAACCCACAAAGGCCAGCATGTGGGCGATGAACCTTTTATGTTTTGAGACAAAAGCCTAGCTGAAGCGGAGACCAGAGAGAGAGAGAGAGAGAGAGAGAGAGAGAGAGAGAGAGAGAGAGAGAGAGAGAGAGAGAGAGAGAGAGAGTTGAAGCTGCGGGCGAAATACCGCGTGTTTGACTTCACCGAAAGGTATTTTCAGAACCGCATCCAGAAATTCCAACCATCTGGACAGAATTACTGTATTTCTAAATTAAGATGTGGCTCATCAGTAATTCTGTCGATGACACCGACACAAGGAGGGCGATGGTGATCTATTGGCTGGTGTGTGTGTGTGTGTGTGTGTGTGTGTGTGAGTGAGTGTGTGTGTGTGTGTGTTGCTATGTGCTGGGCGCAGGCAGGGAGAAAGGGGCCAGCGATGGACCAGCAGGGCAGGCAGGTGGCCAGGCTGCAGCCGGGGTAAAACACTCATAGCTTTAGCTGAGAGTGTAGCCTGTAGTCATGTGAGAGATCTCAGGGAAATGCTGCCACCATGTGACGCAGCAGAGAACTCGACATTCTGAAATACGTTCACCTGCTGAATCACAGACAAGTGACAATTGCATTGGCTTCAACTTGCAATGATTGTGATGATTGTATGTATTACTTCATGAATGTTACTTATTCATTACTTACTGATGGTTTGTCCCTGTTTGTCATGCTTTGCTTTCTGTCGTTTTGTTCATGTATGTCTGTAAGACGATGCTTTTGTCAGGACCCCTTGAAAAGGAGATGCTGCACCTCAAGGGGTTTATCCTGATAAATACATTTCTATATATGTACAAATGAAAAAATGGCATTGTATCATGTCAAAAATAATGCTAAGTATGGCTGTTTCTCGAGACATTAATGCATGTTTTACTACCTGGAGATTAATGTGAATAATATCCTGCTTCATATTGTGTCTAAAGACTTTGTATCTACTGTATATGTTCAACTTTTTAATCCTGTTTTCATTCTATTTAGAGATTGTTCATTTCTACTCTTTAAATTCTACTTATGTGCAATGCCTTGTTTTGTCTTTTATGCTGCTTCAAAGCAAAAATGTCCCAATTTGGGATCAATAAACCTCCTATCTTCTCTCATGCTCTACTTTCTGATCTCCCTAAAAGAATAAACCTCCACTACAATTACTGGAAAACTCCAAAAGTATTAACGAGGACGAGTAACAAAGCCCCCCATGTTTACTCTGCTCCCTGTGAGCTTGAGATGTCACACTTTAAGATAATAGTTGTTGTAATGGTCTTGGTCCTAGTTATTCATCCATGGGCGTCGCAGCCATTATACGAGTCCCCCCCATCTTTTAAAATGATTAGTTTAGACCCCCCCACTTTTACCATGTGGAAAGTCCATGCATCGGTCTATCCACTCGCCGCTCTTTGTAGACCGCTGTGTCGGGGCTTCATTATCAAATCCATTCCACTTGCTTATTGAGAGAATTCCCAAATCAATGAAACTCCGTACCATGTTTTCACTGCTACTTTGCACCAAGGCAGATTCTCAGAGCCGTACACAGGAGCCGTGCACATGCTGCGTAGCTGTGTCTCTAGTTGCCCAGTGGCGATCTGTTCATCCGTCATATCATACAATAAAGCCATCGAAAAGAATAGGATACAGCAGTAAAAGTTATTCTGGGTCTTTGTGTGTCATAGCTCGGCTGTGTGTGTGGCACCACGAGCGCATTTTGTGTGAGCGGGTGAACGAGAGAGCGCTAACGTACATAAGGAGTTGTTTCTACAACAAGGAGGAAGAGAGCTCTCTCCTGTCAGACACATCTTATAACGTCAGCTCAGCGAGGTAAAGGACTCTCTGAGTGTTTAGATTGTTTAGTCTAAGTTATCTCATGTAAACAAGTATTTCCAAGGCACACCTTTTATATGATCATTATACAAAATAAGAGAATAACAGGTATGAAATCATTCCAACTCATACTATAGGACAGTAAAAGGGTTACAAAAGTAAATCTGTTTTAAACAGTAGTTTCACATGGGTGCTGTTGAGAGATGTATCCATAGATATAGTCCCTAACTTTGCTCTCAAAGTGCACCAGAACATGCCCCCGGACCCCCCTAGAGGAGGTGAGGTCCACCACCTGCCCACACCCCCCGTCAAATTGTCCCACCCAGATTGAGGATGCTTCCTACACCCATGAATTCATCAGATGTATTGCTAACCTATAAAGCATAGAACCTGAACTGCTAAACTTATAATTATTAAAGTTACATTTTTTTTTAAAAGACCCACAGTGAGGCTTCTTTTTGTTATTGACCTGAGGACAGCGTTCTTACTTTAAAGTGGACCTATCATGCTATATTTGAATAATATAGTATAGGACCATACCTATATAAGGCATATTTATACTTTTTTTTTTTCAAAATACCAAACAGATCATGCATTTTAGCCATGCCTCATTTCGCTCAATTTGACCATTTCTAGATCTGTTTTTGCAAGGGCAGATTCTGTGAGAACAGCACCATCTACAGGCCTGGCATATGTACTACAGCGTCTCAGCGCTTTCGAACGGCAATGTCCGTGGTTGTCTCCTCCTGATTGGTGGAGTTGGCCCAATAGCCGTAGCGCCACCGTCCTGACGTCAGGACAGTGTTCAAATCTGGATCAGTTTTTATCAGATCCGTTGCAGCCCCTTTTTTAGAGATTTGGGTATGGAGGAAAATAGAGAGGGTTGTGTTTTCTGACACTTGGTGAGTTCCCTGGAACACCGGGGACACATATTCATGTATAAAAGACGTACAAAAGTGCATTTTGCATGATAGGTCCCCTTTAAAGAGCCCACTCAAGACCCACCTTTTAAATGTGACATTTAAAAACTCTCTTTTTACCCAGTCTTGTTTTTGTTGACATGTTTTGGTGATTTTATTGATCACAAGGTTATGGGCTGCTTATGAACTTAGAAGGGTGGCATTGTGTGTATGTATTCTTTGGTATTAAGTGTTTTTGTTGATCATGTGTTGCTCTTTTCCTGAACTGGGGGGCGTTAGTCGTGCTTTTATTTGTATTTGGGGATTTATTTTGGAGTTGTTTTGTTTTTTTATATATATTTTCATTTGCCCTTTTTTTTGGGGGGAATTAAGTGTTTTTATTGATCATAGGCTATTGTGTTGCTCTGTCCATGAACTGGGAGGGGTGGTCCCTTTTGTTTTGATTTATTATTATTTTTAATTGTTTTGTTTTGAGAAGCACATCATTGACTCCTGTAATGATGTTTCTATATATTTTTTGTCCATATTTTGGTATTAAATGTTTGTATTGATCATGGGCTGATGTGCTGCTCTGCTTATCAACTGGGAGGGGGTATTGTTTTTATTAAAATGTTATATATATTTAATTCTGCTGTCCTTTTTTGGTATTAAGAGTTTGAATTGATCATGGGAGTTTATCTTTGGTTAATGAAGCACTTCTGTACCTCATATTTAAGAACTGGGGTGTAGTTATGTTTTCATTTACATTTGTAATCATTAGTTTGCCCTCATGTTTTGGCTGTGATTCACTTTGTGTTACCTTCTGTGTCTTAAAAAGCTCTTCATAAATAAAGATTGATTGATTGATTGATTGATTGATTGATTGATTGATTGACTCCTCGTACCTGAAAGAGCCTCCTCCGGGGTCGTTGAGCTTGTTTTTCTGATTTCCACACATCTGAACCGCCATGGGACTTTTGCCTTGGATGAATCCTGCCTTGCACATTGTGCCTGTTCAGAAAGAGGGGAATCAGAGAAGAGTTATGAACACAGGAGAAGAGTTATCATTGAAACGTCCCCTCCTATCTGCATCAAACATCCTCCTGTCTTACGACTACCTTCAACTGTCATCCTCGCAGGGCTAAGTAAGAAAGGGGGGGGGTGTACTGTCGCTCTCCTCAGGTTGGTGCGTACAGCGTCGCTCTGTCAATATCACTGCGCTTCACCGGCTCTCCTTACACTCCTAAACCCGCATCCTGCTCCGAGACACGTTTTCCAGAGAGGCACAAGGACTGCCAGAGTGAATTTAAACTTGATTTTAACAGGCATGTTCCTCGCCAAGAGGCACAGGAAAGTATTTTTAGAACTATCCCCGCATTCCAATTTATGGGCATAAAACAACCTACAGATCTTTCACTGCAGGCGATAGTGGGGAAGGGGGCAGATCAAATTTGTATGCACCTCCGATAGCACACACACACACACACACACACACACACAGGAGGAAAAACAGGTAGAAACACGTACACACATTACACACTTTACACACAGCACCTGAGAGCACAGCGCTCTCTTAGGGGAGCGTTACGCCCGGTTGCTGTCGGGGCGATATTTGTGGGCTTCAGTGGGAAGAGTGTTTGTGAATCAGTGTGAGTAAGCAGCAGCAGCGCAAATGTTTGAGGAGGCTTTCTAACCAGACAGGGGAGGAAGAAAAAACACCTGTTCTCTGTGAGCCTGTTTACACATCTTAAGGCCAACTGAGGGAACGATCAGGCTTCCACTAATGGCTATCTTTTGTTGAACAGGTTTTCATGGATCTTTGTTTAACCACAAGGTCTGGTTGAGTTTGAGAATCTTGAAAATATCTTGCACCGGAGACATAAAAACTGCAGGCCAGAAACAGGAGAAAAACTGGTGTCCAAAGGGTGTCTTTTTTTTTATATTATGCCATTCCTTTTTTAGCTCGTATGCCACTTTTGCTCCAACACTGTTAATGTCCCCGCTGTGGGACTAATAAGGGGATTCTGATTCTTCAGACAAATGGGAAAACTGAAATTCAAAGCTCCCAGAATTTAAAGAAATCTGTACATTTCATTTTATACTCAATTTAAGTCCTGCACAATTTTACAATATATTTTTCTGAGAAAGCAGGAGTTTTGTTTGGAGAACAATCTGACACATTATGGATGCATTCCTGAAGTGTCTGTACTGTCTATTTCTGTATGTTGCTATTTCTCCCTAGGTCAATACATTTGAATCCTGTTGACATTAAAGGTCCCCTATTATACTGTTTTTCATCAATATATTATAGGTCTCTGATATATACAGAACATGTCTCTGAAGTGTTTGGCTCCAAACACCAAACAGATCATTGCAGCATCCCATAATCCCCTCTGTTTCAGCCCTGTTTCCAAAGTGCTGATTCTCTGTCTGTTACTTCAGATGAAAATAAGGAGCCCCTCCCCACGCCCCTCTGAGAGATATTTGGTTAAAAAGAACACAATGGTGCTCTAGGAGGAGATTCAGGTGATAAGGTGTGGGGGGGGGGGGGGTGTTACCTTGGTTGGTGATTGGCTAATGGTTACACAAGACAAAAAATCGTTATGACATCATAAAGTGGCCAAAATCTGATCAGCTCATTTTCAGACAGGTTTTTATAGAAATGGATCAGGACAAAAAGAGAGAGAATCTTTTTTCCTGAAACTTTCAGAGTCTCTTTACACAGAGGGGACACATGTTGATGTAGAAGAGACAGGAAAAAGTGGATTTTGCATAATAGGTGACCTTAAATAGACATTGTATATGGTAAAGATGTCATTGAATTCAAATAAAGAAGTGGCTGCAGAAGTCCTTCATACCTTGCACTCTGACAGGATGTGGGATCCCCATGGGCATCCGGACCTGGCCACTCATAGCGCCTGCTCTCATTCCCTGAGGAACAAACACAGATCATAAAAATGACTTCAATATTTCAATGAATGACACAATTTGTAAATGAGAGGCGAGATTATAAACCTGGCATGTCTGCTGAACTGCTTCTGCCCAAGATGACTCTCTGAGAACAATCAACTTTTGCTCAATTTAAAGACTTAGTAAGTAGCACAACATTTTCAACAAGATTCAAGGCTTTATTGTCACAGTAGCTACAGCGTAGATACGGCAATGAAAAACTGAAGTCCCAGGCTCCTCCAACAGTGCAACATGTTGACATAAAACAAATAAAACAAGTCATTTTTTGAGTTTTTTGTACTGATTTCTAATCTACTGTCAGGTATTAAAGTATTGTTTGCTGTAGTCCTGCCTGGCACTCATGTGATGTCAACAATTACATTACATTTCACTTGTTAGACACTTTTATCCAAAGCGACTTACATACTCAGTACTGTGGACAATCCCCACAGGAGCAATTTGGGGTGAAGTGTCTTGTCCAGGGATACAACGACATGCTGACTGCAGTGGGGTTTGAACCTGTGCTCCCCTGATCCCAACACCAACGCTCAACCCACTGCACCACACGCCTCCCAATCACATGGAAGATTGTTGACGTCCACCTGGATCCATCTTTTTAAAATACATTTTCTTTAACTTTTTTGTCATTTGGGCTGTCTATGTCAATGTCTGCACACGACATCTACTGCACGTCTGTTTGTCCTGGGAGAGGGGTCTTTCTCTGTTGCTCTCCTCGAGGTTTCCAACATTTTTCCCCGTTAATTGTGGGATTTCTTGGGAGTTTTTCCTTGTTACAGCAAGGGACTAAGGGTAGGGGGTGTCGAATGCTGTACATACTGTAAAGCCCCCGAGACAAATGTGTAATTTCTGATATGTGTCTATATACATTAATTTAAGAGTAGCGGATAGACGCAAGAAAGATTTCAACGATGGCTATTCCTGCACATTATTAGACTGAACGTGATGTAGCCCCGTGAGACAAATGTGTAATTTCTGATATGTGTCTATATATTTTTATTTAAGAGTAGAGGATAGACGCCAGAAAGATTTTAAAGATGGCTATTCCTGCACATTCCTCCACGCCACTCCTTTGTGCATCAGTCAATCCTCACAGTAAAGAAAGACAGTCAAATGCACGCTGAAGGCTCTCTGAGCATGTCTTCTCTCAGTGATCGTGCCGTTATGTTAAATGTTTGTGTCTTGATATGTGTCTGTGTTGATGTTACACATGGAGCTGCTGTGATGCCAGTCACATTTCAGACTTGATCTGACCATTAAAGTATTATCGTATTGTATTATTAGACAGAATGTGATGTGGAGACAAATGTGTAATTTCTGATATTTGGCTATATATATTAATTTAAGGGTAGGGGACAGAAGATTTTACGATGGTTATTCCTACACATTCATAGACAGAATGTGATGTTAAGGCGAAAGCAGGATGGATTCTGTCACTGACCTACATTTGCCTGCTTTTCCAGATAAGACAAAGGCAAAAAGAAGTCAAGACGGCAGTGAAAAAGTAGTTTGGAAGAAGAAGAAGAAGTAGAATAAGAAGGAGCATGGGGATGAGGAAGGGGGGGTTTTGCTGGGCTATTAGAGTCACTTCCTTCCTTGGTAGCAGCCACAGGCCCCCCCTCAGGCTCAGCCATCCATTCCTACCAGTTTGCTTCTTGCTGCATATTTTTTAGCCTTGTTTTCCATTCCCTGACACATGCTATATTACTGTTCAAGCTACGGAGAAAAAGACAGAGGCCATTTTTCCCAGAGATCCACTGCAGGGGCTTGTGAGAGTGGGAGGAAAAGGAGAAAAATAGAATACATTCAGCACAGGCGGAGATAGCTACACCTCTGGCCAGCCGCGACACAGTTAGGAGAAGTCAGGTAGAAAGTTTGGGAAACAGGCGGTAAAAGGCTTGTGTTTCACTCCTTTAACGAAGTCCATATTATATAGTACTTTAATTTATTCATATATCATTACAGAATACAGAAACGTACATTCTGTTCAATCTCATTCTTATCTTATAATAATATACTTATTTCTGGGTTTTACTTGCACCACTGTTTCATTATTTGACTTCCTTATTTACGATACGATAATGTATGTATTTGTTAAGTATGTTACACTATTCGCAGGGTCTGGGACTAAATATTTCCATTGCCAACAACCACCCTATTTTGCATCAGACAAATAAAACCATTGAATGTTTGGTATAAATAAATTATATACAGTTATATTTCGATTTGACTGCTTTTTAAAACACATAATTGCAACATCTTTCACATGCTAGTTATTTCAGTGCTAGTTTTCTTTATTTTAAGAACCCCACTTCCTTAATGAAGCTTTAATAGAAACACACACAACACACACACACACACACACACACACACACACACACACACACACACACACACACACACACACACACACACACACACACACACACACACACACACACACACACACACACACACACACACACACACACACACACACACACACACACACACACACACACACACACACACACACACACACACACACACACACACACACACACACACACACACACACACACACACACACACACACACACACACACACACACACATTATTTTAAGACCCCCACTTCCTTAATAAAGCTTTAATAGAAACAGCCGGACGTGGTAAAGTAAAAAAAGTTGATTCAGATTTTCTACTTTATCCATTTAAAAACATGAATTAAATTCTGACGGTGTCTGCCGATCTTCTCAGCAACGACCTTGCTTGATTAAAGTAATCATACTAATGTTTTCAAATGTGTCATAAGCACACATGTTAGTTATGCAACTGGTAGCACAGCTTCTTTATGACTTTCAATCAATGGTTGCACACATGTTTTTATTGTAGCCTCTGAGGGAGAGGTTTATATATTTGACCACATTAGTTTGAGAGTTAGAGCATACACAATGTTACAGTGCTCTGTGGTGATGTGGCCTAGTTACTCTCCATTCATTCACTGCCTTTCACTAGATATATCATATTGCCCCGAGGTAATTTAAGGTCCAGCAAGTTTCGTTAAAACTAGCGGTGGAATTCTTGCGAAAATAATACAAAATGTTGTCCATTTAAATAACATTTTCAACCCTAAATGCATCAAAGAATTACATTTTCTGGCTGTAAAAACAAGCCGTAAACACATACATCATGTCATGCTATCTCTTGCTACAGCATGTACTGTATATACCTTTAAAAAAATATATGTATGATTACCTTTATCTTACCTCTATTCTAACCTTTATTTAAGTGTACATTCCTTGTGGGGTTAATCATAAAATAAACCTTAAATAAATGACTCCACATGTATACACTTTAAGTTACAATTGCTAAACTTTACGAAACATTTATTAAATTCAAACATTTCCCCAGCCTACTGTAAGAAATATTACCCGTACTACTTTGGGAGGAGAGGACTTTTAGCGCTGTTGGGCCCGGGGCGATCATTTACTAATGTTATGTGTGATAGCTTATGTTGGTGTGTGTGTGTGTGTGTGTGTGTGTGTGTGTGTGTGTGTGTGTGTGTGTGTGTGTGTGTGTGTGTGTGTGTGTGTGTGTGTGTGTGTGTGTGTGTGTGTGTGTGTGTGTGTGTGTGTGTGTGTGTGTGTGTGTGTGTGTGTGTGTGTGTGTGTGTGTGTGTGTGTGTGTGAGAGAGAGAGACCGGAGGCTTGTTCTGGACATAGACTGCGGCCGCCACGTTGCTTTAAAATTGACCCGGGGCTGACCTAGTTCCCTCGTCTCACCCTTTAACGGTTAACGGGTGGAGGGAGGGAGATACAGTGAGAGGAGAGAGATGGACAGGGTGGAAAAGAGAGAGAGCAAGAGAGTGAGAGAAACAAGTGATGAAAAGGGTGAGAGGAGGAAGATGAGGGGAGTGAGAGGAAGAGTGAGAAAGGAAAATGTGAAAGAGAGAGACAGAAGCCTCTAGCTCGCCCCTTTTTCTGGACCTGACCTCGCTTGACCCGTCCTCAGTCTGCTGTGCGCGCGCGCGCACACACACACACACACACACACACACACACACACACACACACACACACACACACACACACACACACACACACACACACACACACACACACACACACACACACACACACACACACACACACACACACACACACACACACACACACACACACACACACACACACACACACACACACACACACACTATACACACAGAGTATACACACATGATACTGCTGTGTGTCCAGTGCTGGAGGTTACATTGCCTTAGGGTTGCAACATTTGAAAAATATAACACTTTTAATATTCATCTCCAAGGTGTACTGTAATACCAATACTAATAAACCACTGCATATTTCACTGCTCATAAATTGTAAGATTCACACATTTTAACTTCTTATGTTTATACAAATATTTCTATTACATTTTAGTGTATTGCACATTATTACTTAACTCTTGTTTCTGAAAACATTTTTTTTATTTTATTTTTGCCATTTTGTTTTATTAGCTTCTTGCTTCTATTAATATTTTGTATTTATTGCATTTTTTATTGCTACTTTTACTTCTTTAGTTTATATACATATTTTATGTATTTTAAAATGGAGCAACTTTGTCCCCCCAGGGATGAATAAAGTATCCTGATTTTGGGTCTCATAACACCTGTAAATCACCTTTAAAGACAAACAGTGAACGTAAACACTGATAACTGAGTGTCCTCCATACACACCATGTCTCATAACACCTGTAAATCCGGGAATAGGATTATTAAGTGTAGTAGCCCACGTCATATTCTTTCAGACTTCTTTCTTTGTTATCCCTGTATCATCTGTATACTGACCTGTGTTTATTTACATGCCTTTTCATTTGATTGCACACTGTATCTGCCACCTAGACTGACCGTTTTATGTATGTGTAATGTTCGTTATATTTGAAAACTTCAATAAAAATATTGTTTAAAAAAACAACAACCTGTAAATCACCTTTAAATACAAACAGTGAACGTAAACACTGATAACTGAGTGTCCTCCATACACACCATGCCAGCTGCATGTCCCATCCCAGCTCCTGCGGTGACGCTGACGCTGTGGGGGGGGCGGATGCGGACAGCTGGCCCAGCCGCGATGGCAGGGGGGGGGCCGCCGGGTGCTGGTTTGAATCCCTGCTGCGGGGGATGGGTCACAGTGTGCTGACTGCTCAACAGAGAGAGCCGGAGGGCCGGGAGACTCTTCTGTTGACGGGCAGAGAGAGACAAGGGTTACAGGCAACACATGAGAATACAGGAGGAGGAGAAGAGGGACACACACACACACTGTGCTGTGGTCACTGTGTGATGTTATCAAAACATGGTTATGGGCTGAAGAAAAAACGATGGCGACATAACTAGGGCTGTTGTGTTATACCTGCATTGACAATAATCGTGATATTTTAAAAATGAAATACTGACATCATGTTGATAATGCACATATGATTATATCATTTTGCCAGGTGTTAGGCGTTGTGGATTTGTTGTTTATCAGGTCATATGGTTGCCCTCTCAAGCTTTTACAGTGTAATGGTTATAGACTCGTCTCTTTTCACCTCCCTACACTCAGTCTGAGTCAAATTAATTTGCCAAAAAAAGAGACAAAATGCAGAATAAACAAAAATAAATATTAATTAGACTGGTGGCATTATTTATTGATTTACTTATTTAGATAATATCATTATCATGAAATATTTTGGACACAATAATTGTATAGTAAAAATTATCCGGAAAGCCATAGACCTCAAAATGTGATATGTTTATGGTTTTTTATACACATTTTCCTCCGCAGTTAAACTGTTTAACTTGATTTCATGATGATAAACCCACAGTATGTTTATTATCCACCACACATGGAACATGGCCATCAGCCAGTTGTGATAAGCCTCTGTCACAGTGGAGCTGCTGCTGCTCCATAAAGACTATTTCAGGCAGATTTTTGACGTAAGAGACCTAACGTTGCATGACAACATGTGTTTGTGGCCGGGTCGTGACGCTCATCACGGCTGGCTGCAGGAAGCTGAAGGCTACACGCTGCAGGACACACTGTCACACACAGTCAGAAGTCAGGCCACAGGGGAGTGGGCGGATGTGTGTGTGAGAGTGTGTGTGTGTATCATTCTACTGTCAGGCCTGTTCATTACTGCCCTTGGTGCCATGGAAAGGACTATTTTAGGGGTCAGTTTGGGTAAATAACATGAGAGCAGCAGCTTAAGGAGCCATATTAACGGGGGATTTAAGGGGCAAGTGATTTTTTGGGGGGTCAATTTAATGCTCAAGGGCTTTCGGGGCTGCACACCTTGAAAAAATAACTCATTGCGTTTATTTTGACTTACATTGCAATTGTGATATGATTCGCAATATTTGAGGAATTGACAATTTTGTGTTGAATATGTTCACATAATTATTAAAGAAATATAATAAAATAAGCATTTTTTGAAGAGGATCTGTTCCAAACACACTTGTTGTTGGCCTGCTACAAATAAACTGTATTAATATCACCTGCTTGAATTGAATGCTCCTGCTCCTTCATCACATACGTCAAACAAACTATAATCATTGAGGCAATAAGTGTTGACCACCATCCGCTCTGATAAGCTGTCAGTATGGGTGGATGTGTGTGTGTGCGTGCGTGTGTGTGTATCATTCTACTGTCAGGCCTGAAAAGGGGTGAAAATATTCCCACCAACTTTTCCCTCTGACCCCAAAAGCCAGATGTTAGAGTATGGCAGTGGCTTTTTTGGTCCAGAGGGAAAGGGACCTTAAAAAGAAGTTAAAAAATACACTTTATAAGCGAGAGCCCCACCTTGAGGAAGGGCACCAGGTAGGGCTGCGGAGAGGACTTGAGCTCCGTCTGCAGCCGGCTGGTGAACTCCTCCGGTTCTATCTTTGCATCCTGTTGGCGGAGAGGAAAGTAAAACAACACTTTAGGAGAGGCAGCAAGAGAAGACAACAAGATGACACATCCCATCACCGGCTGATCATCAGCTCCCATCCTGCGTCCTGGGGCTGAAGCTCATGAATGTGTAACTGGGTTTCAAAATGCATGAAGGAGAGAGGAGGGTTTAGAGTTTCATGCTGCCATCTACAGGTTTGAAACGGGCAACACAACAATATGTGAAAGATGCATGTTATATATATATGTGTTAGTAATTTCGTTTTTGGGAGAAGGGGTGGGATTAAATAAGTGTAAACTTCTTCCCACCCCTTTTCGGATGTGTAATTAAGTAGAGTATTTATTTATACACAATTTAGAATCAGTAATATTTGTGTATATCAATTTTGTATTGTATAATAATTATCATGTTAAATTGTATTTATTGGTACACATCAGAAATAAATCTAATCAAATCTAAACAATCTAAACTCCTAAGTGTATTTTAAAATGCAAACAATTAAGTTACATAAGAAAAAATTATTGAAGATAACTGTGACTGTGAAAAGATGCAAGTTTTAAGATAAGATAAGATAAGATGGACCTTTATTAATCCCTGTGGGTACATTCAGTAGTTTAACAGCAACAGGGTGAGATTGAACAATTGGAAAACACAGATTAATACAATAGATACAAATTTAAAATGATAAAATAACAATAAAATAAGAAATGAATTAAAATTAACATATATACATATTGGGTCATATATACATATTTGATATATTTACATGTGTGTGAAAACAGTGTGTATTTTATGTCCAGTAATTGTGTCACCTTGCACAATACTTACTTACTCCTAAGTGTATTTTAAAGTGCAAATGAAGTTACTTAAGAAATCTATCTATCTATCTATCTATCCATCCATCCATCCATCCATCCATCCATCCATCCATCCATCCATCCATCTATCTATCTATCCATCCATCCATCCATCCATCCATCCATCTATCCATCCATCCATCCATCCATCTATCCATCCATCCATCCATCCATCCATCTATCCATCCATCCATCCATCCATCCATCCATCCATCTATCCATCCATCCATCCATCCATCCATCTATCCATCCATCTATCCATCCATCCATCCATCCATCCATCCATCTATCTATCTATCTATCCATCCATCCATCCATCCATCCATCCATCTATCCATCTATCCATCCATCCATCCATCCATCCATCCATCTATCCATCCATCCATCCATCCATCCATCCATCTATCCATCCATCCATCCATCTATCCATCTATCCATCCATCCATCCATCCATCCATCCATCTATCTATCTATCTATCTATCCATCCATCTATCCATCTATCCATCCATCCATCCATCTATCTATCCATCCATCATCCATCCATCCATCCATCTATCTATCTATCTATCCATCCATCCATCCATCCATCCATCCATCCATCTATCTATCTATCTATCTATCTATCTATCTATCTATAACATAAGTGTTGTTTATTGTTGTGAGTCTCACCAGCAGGTCCTGGACCAGAGACTTGACGTTCTTCGAGGTCTCTGGAGACGGAGAGTTGTGAGACGCCAGCTTGATGAGTGTGGCCAGGAAGTTCTTACACTTCTTCACATTGTCCTGCATTTCCTGTAGGAAACAGAAAGAAAATAAGTATTCATCTTCTGTACAAAGAAACAAAAACATCAGATATCAAAGGCTACAAAATGCTGAATGTCTTGGATATTTCAGGACGCCTTTTTTATTAATTTAGCATAGGATTTGTATCAGAATTTCATGTTAAAATAGAGGTGTTGGGTCAAATCCTGAGCAGAAAGTATTGTATTTGACCTGCAATCATTTCCTTAATACTCAACAGATATATTACAGAATGATATAACTTAAAGGTCCCCTATTATACTGTTTTTCATCAATATATTATAGGTCTCAGATATATACAAAACATGTCTCTGAAGTGTTTGGCTCCAAACACCAAACAGATCATTGCAGCATCCCATAATCCCCTCTGTTTCAGCCCTGTTTCCAAAGTGCTGATTCTCTGTCTGTTACTTCAGATGAAAATAAGGAGCCCCTCCCCACGCCCCTCTGAGAGATATTTGGTTACAAAGAACACAATGGTGCTCTAGGAGGAGATTCAGGTGATAAGGTGGGGGGGGGTTACCTTGGTTGGTGATTGGCTAATGGTTACACAAGCCAAGTCGTTATGACATCATAAAGTGGCCAAAATCTGATCAGCTCATTTTCAGACAGGTTTTTATATAAATGGATCAGGACAAAAAGAGAGAGAATCTTTTTTCCTGAAACTTTCAGAATCTCTTTACACAGAGGGGGGGACACATGTTGATGTAGAAGAGACATGAAAAAGTGAATTATGCCTAATAGGTGACCTTTAAGCAAATGTAAGAAGCTGACAAGCCTCAGTTTGAAATCAGAGCAGCCGAATGAGAGCTGGCTCCTCTCACAGAGCCGGAGGAAACAAAGTGAAGCCCTGAGAGAATCTGTGGCCTCGATACATGGAGACGTGTGGCTCTGTTTCTCTGTGAGGGTTGTGAGCATCTACAGCAGGGGTGTCCAAACTACGGCCCGGGGGCCAAATGCGGCCTGCGGGCCATTTTTAATCGGCCCTCAGCAAATGCAAAAAGTATAATGGTATATGGCCCACAAATGAAACTTGTGCTTTTCTTATATTGTACTTCTTAAATATATATGTACAAATATATTACACAGTAGTATTCATGTGTAAATAAGACCACTTTTAAAATAAATTCAGTTAATTCCTGTTGAAAACATTTTCTAACAAATCTTAGTTGATAAAAAAAAGCACAATGACTTATTTACATTATAACAAGCTTGAAACACACCCTTCATATTTAATCTTATTATAATCAATCTGAAGCTTCTGTTTTAAGGAATGAGCTGCCAACAAGATAAATGAAACCCTATAGAGAGCTGTGATGTAGGCTGTTTTGTATCAAGCCTAATTTACCTACATTTTGCTAACTTATAACTTAACTTATGAGGCAATATAGGAGAGGAGATTCAGGTGATAAGGTGGGGGTGGGGGGTTACCTTGGTTGGTGATTGGCTAATGGTTACACAAGCCAAAACATCGTTATGACATCATAAAGTGGCCAAAATCTGATCAGCTCATTTTCAGACGGGTTTTTATATAAATGGATCAGGACAAAAAGAGAGAGAATCTTTTTTCCTGAGACTTTCAGAGTCTCTTTACACAGAGGGGACACATGTTGATGTAGAAGAGACATGAAGAAGAGGGGACACATGTTGATGTAGAAGAGACATGAACAAGTGGATTTTGCACAATAGGTGACCTTTAATGTCTGCGTCTATATGTCCTTGGGTTGGCCTGAACTTGTGTGAATGTATGAGTGTGAATGTGTGTGTGGGCATGTGTGAGACTGTGGCCAGCTGTGTGAGGAGGGGGGAGGGGCCGGGGGTCCGAGTCCTGACACAGGCAGCCTGCTGGCAGCTGTGACAGGACCTGGAGGG